GTACAGCAAGGACATTCGCCGGGTTCTCCAAGGATGGGTACAACTACATAGCTCACTCCACACTATGCTCTGTCAAATGTATACCAAGGATCTACAGGAAATATGTTATAATTATAGACAATGGTGAATACGGAATAGTGACTGATAAATCGAGTGTTTATTTGAGGAACTGAAAGCTTAATACTAATAGCATAAATTTACCCGTAAGATTTTTTTTTAAAATCTACTATTTAATAAGGTCCAACCAATCGTAGTTCATAGATTTCACTGTTGATGTTATACTGTTAATGTATGTCATCTTTACGGGCACCAGTAGCACCATTCAGTGCCGATGTTAAGATTAAAGTTTTGGAGATCAATTAACGTTGTTTCAGTTTAATTTTAAATTAAATAGGCGAAATTCACGACGTTGAACTGAAATTTAATCAATCAAAGAATAAACTTAAATATTTAATCATCTGGCGTCATATGTAATTGTGATAGGAGCTAGCTGAGAGATGGTGGTTTCACGACTACTGATCTACTTAAAGTGCTGATTAAATTTAATGGTATATATCATATTTATAGGATGCACTAAGCATTTATTACATATAACAGTTAAAGTGGTTTCCAGGAAACTACAGGGAAAAGTATACAACAAGGCGAGTAAGAGGGTAGAATGGTAAGACCAAAGTAATAGTAACAGTAAGGTTTAAGCACTGCAAGCATGTTATGTTGATGTAACCTCTGAGTACACCAAAACCGCGTAGTGAGGAGCACGTTAAAGTAATTGGTATTTCAAGTCCAGGGTACTACGGAGTGAAAAAAAGCCATGCAAGAAACGCATCTCATCCTTAAGATTGGGGTATCAGTATCAGCAGTACTACAATGTAAAAGGTAGCAGTATGTTCTTGCAGTTGTTAATGTATTCAATGTGACGACTTTCTATTTTACTTTTCAATATCACACAATATTCTCATTTCAAACATCAGTTTACTGAACCACACCAACCTCCTTCTCAGGCGAATTTCGCCTATATAATTATAATTTATCTTCTAATTTCGTAATGACGCCTACATAAAATGTTAATAGAATTTAGTCTAGAAGTAGAACTCCATAACTAATGAAACTTTTATATTTAAAATAATCTAAAACAGCTACAGTGATATACTTATAGCTCAACTGTTCAATTAGTTGATAGTGATACGTTATTTTTGAGATGCAAGAAGATCGACGATATCCAGAGTCTGTAGGACAAATTAACAGTGGAAATAATTTCATAGGTCCTATAAATTATGAAATGACTTTTCCAGAACTAGCTCTGCACTGATAGATATTAGTTACAACATTTGATTCACGTTGTCAATCCTTCACATGTCACAGTGCATTTCGCCAATCTGTGGTACTGGTTGCGAGAAGCATTAATATTATTGGTTACTGGGCCGCGCTCAGCCTGTCATTCCGCCTAATCTCTATTCTATGTTAATGAACATAATAGCCTGGGGTCCCCAGGTAATATTATTGGATGCGCAATGCGGCCCGGTTAAGTAGTACTACATTGCGCTACAATCACAATGCTGGCAAGCATGACCGTCGCCCTTATATTCACAATACTATTTACCCCCTTTACTATTTACCCCCTTTATTATTTACCCACCTTTACTATTTACCCCCTTTACTATTTACCCCCTTTACTATTTACCCCCCTTACTGTTTACCCCCATTCTAATTCAATGTTTGACAGGATGATGACAGGAATAAAAATAGCTATGTGGAGGTTTTTAAGAAATTTGCGCAAAATACGCGCCAGCATGTTATACGAAATTAGGTAAAAAACCCAAAATCGCCATATTCAGGTGCCTTAAACACCACGTTAAAAATGAGTAAGAGATCTGAAACTTTGCAGGGCGTCTAGACGTTGACCAAATCGACTGTAAAACAAATTTCAAGTTACAGGAGTATTGAGAAGTGGGTTTCCTGGAACCCCTGTTTTACAACTGATTGTCGTGAAGCATATGTATATATTATATAATATGTATAGACGCTTTGGCAGTCAATTGTAGCCTACATTTAAGTGTTCGTAGATTCAAAAGTATAAAAGATACAGTCACTTCGAACCACAGGTTTTAAAGATAATCGTTTACACTTCAGTTTAGATTATATTTAAAAATAATTTATTGTCATCATCATCACTTGATGACGTCATCAAATTAAGTGTTTTTTAAACTTGATTTTTGACAGAATAACACGTTTTCAAATCAATTTTACACCATTAAGGAATAATTTTATTCTAAATCTGAGGACATTTTTACTTAGATAATTGTTCAAGCTTTCTGAAAATCTACCGGAAAAGTTTCCTACCTTACTCCTTCATAAAGATATTCGCTATTGAAGTTGGTGCTTTTTTGAAGAATAAATTTATAAAAACACAAAAGTTGTGAATTAGTATTCTCCGGTGTTGGGCCATCCCTTGGGTTGTGGAGCTCAATTTTGATTCTTAAAGGTCTAAATTGTGTTATAGGCTAGTTTTAATGTTGAAAATCAAAAAGTTGCACATATGGGGAAACGCCCAAATTGATTTAAAATTGCTTAAATCACTGAAAATTGTTATTTTCATGATTTTTATCAACTTTGGAGTTCCGTTGTGATCCAAGTTCTTTTTGAAATCTTCTGAAACTTTGCATGCTTATCAAACTATATATAAAGTACCACTATGCAAAAATTTACGGTGAATCAATATTTTATGCGCACGCAACGTCCGATTAAAGATTGCACGTGCGAAAGGTGAGAATCGTGCTCATTCGTGATTTCGAATAAATTCTGCTTTCCCACGATATTTAAATGGCATTATATATGAATTTAATGCCAACTTGAATGAGTAAAAAGTGCCATATTCAGTCAGATATCGACAGATATGCCTACTTAAACACAAGGAAATGTTTTAAAAGGTAAAATTTCGAAATCGTTGAAATTACCTCCTTATAAATATTAATAATAATAGTGATCAGGTTAAATTTCAACTTTGTAAAATATCCTGATATTATAAACAAAAAGAGATGATATTTAATTTGACCAAAACCCATAATCATGGGTAGAGTGGACCGCTGCCAGTGTCTCTCTTTTCCAAACAAAAGGAAATGATATTAATTTGAATAACCGTCCGCAAATGCAAATTGATACCGAGAATGAAATCGGTCGCTCGCTTTTTCCATTCAATAAGCTTTATTACAATTCGTATAAAGCTGTGAATGTCAATGAATGGAAAAAGCGAGCGAGTTATTCAAATTAATATCATTTCCTTTTGTTTGGAAAAGAGAGACACTGGCAGCGGTCCACTCTACCCATGATTATGGGTTTTGGTCAAATTACAACATATATATAAGTATATATAGGTAAACTAGCAGTCGATCATAAGTGCAAAGTGGTCCCTTGAAGGTTTACAACCTACCAGGACGCGCGCCGAGTTGGTCAACGGGTGATACTCGTAAATGGTAAAATATCTGTTCCATATATTGGACCGTCGACGAGTCCAACTCGGCGCGCGTCCTGGTAGGTTGTAAACCTACAACGTGTTGGATAGGACTCGTCGACGGTATATATGGAACAGATATTTTACGAGTATCACCCGTTAAAGAGGTCCCACGAATCACGTCATTTATAATGGTCTGTGCACTTCACGGATGAAAGTTGTAGCGCGATGCACTACTGGGCCGGCCAGGCCGCGCATTTTTTTCGTATGCAGATCGGCTCTTACTAATTCGCACGCCCAAAAATTTCACGTGACTTTGGTTTTTATGGTTTTGCAGCCGTACAAAACGGTTTTACATAAACCCTAATCCCAACCCTAACCCTAACCATAACCCCGAAGCTAACCATAACCCTTACCATAAAGTAAAGTAAAGTACTACCTAGCCTGTCACGTGATCAAAACGGTTTTTTTGCCCATAACTCTCCAGGGAAGCATTTTAACCCTACGTCATGGGGGGTGATTCGGAATCAGCGTCCAAAAATACACCGATCTAGATTACCTTCATGCCCAAAGGGCCTTTTCAATTTCACAAGAATTTTCTTAAAATTTGGGCGAGCGATTTAGTAGGAGCGATGCAGATCGGCGAAATGCGAAGGATTGACATTTTGAATCAACATCAAGATGAAAGGTATGACTATGTAGTCAACAAAATGGGTAACGGGACCGGTGCCTGAAAATTTAAGATTGTAAAACAGTTGCCCTAATTTAACCGTACTTTTAGGTTATGCAAAGTTTTAGTTTTACAAGTCAAATTATTAAGGGCTCATCATTTATCTTTACATAGGGTGTTTGGGTTCAGGATAGGATATGATAATTTATGAAGTCAAAGTATCAGACATTTAAACATTGGAACGAGGAGTCGTTGAAAGTCTAGCTGGTATAGTAGAATCAGCTCAATAACAAAAGCAGACGAAAAAGAAAGCGGAAGGGAATAGCAAAGTTTCTTATTCAAATTTCTTGTATTTGGCAACATGTGAAATATTTCACCAAGTACAATTAGGGGCTCTTACTAAATCGCTCGCCCAAAAATTTCACGTGACTTTGGTTTTTTTGGTTTTGCAGCCGTACAAAACGGTTTTACATAAACCCTAATCCCAACCCTAACCCTAACCATAACCCCGAATTTGCGCGAAACTATCCATAATCTTAACCACAACCCTAACCCTAACCCGAGCCCTAAATAATCGAATTCACGTTTTAGTTTTACTAGCCTGTCACGTGACAAAAACGGTTTTTTGCTCATAACTCTCCAGGGAAGCATTTTAACCCTACGTCATGGGGGGTGATTCGGAATCAGCGTCCAAAAATACACCGATCTAGATCACTTTCAGTGTCATGCCTAAAGGGCCTTTTCACAAGAATTTTCTTAAAATTTGGGCGAGCGATTTAGTAGGAGCGACAATTAGGGGCAGTCAAGAGTTCCTCTCTGATTTGGCATATTTATATGCTTGTCCAGTTTATTAGATATTCATGAAAAAATAATACAAATTGATTCTTGTTGAATAAATTAGGCAATTTTCATAGTATATAGAATCGTATTAACTCAAGTTTAACTTTAAGATAAACGAATTCTTCTTCAAATACTCCAGAAAACAACTTAAACCAATAAATCAGAGTTGTCAACTGTAAATGATTATTCCGCTACTCTTTTAAGTGCCAGCATAGTAAAGCGGTGACAAAAATTACATCAAATCTCTGTCATGGAACAATTTAACCGGTGTTTCTACATCACGCAATTTATTGGATTCTTCGGAAAGGCACAAATATTAGAAAGTACTTTCGACTGTTCGTACTGTTACCATATACAAGCAAGTTTGACACAAATATATTTAAAATGAGATAAAAACAAATAACTTCCTGTACTCAAGATTCGGATCATAATATCTCGGACGAATAGTTTGATCAAAATAAAAAATGAAAACTGTACCTCGCGATCAAATAAACACAAATAAAGCAAATGAATGTGACGTATAAATATTATTATGCTGCGTTTAGTTAAGTATCGGTATCTATATTTCAGCACGACCATTCCGTAACTCGACCGGTTTTTAGGTTAAGAGTTTTTATTACCTTTTTTCATTATCTTGTCAGTTATGACAGCATGGGTACAGAATATTTTTGTCAAAAAATGTCTTCCTTCGTCAAGTTACAGAACAGTTTGCTTTTTAATTACGACATATCATTTCAAATAACACCCAAAACATCTGTTTAGAAAAATCAAGAATCTTTTGGGCAACACTATGTTTTGGGTGCTAATATTTCTGAATTTTCATAGAAAATTGCAAATAAAAATCAAATATTCGGAGTTAATAACACTCTAAAATAGCTCTGGTATATAAAGCATCCCGGGGGAGGGATGACATCTGAACTGTTCAATATCGACAACATTCTGCTGCTGGACAAACAACCTGCACAGTGCACGTGCTAGCGGAGTCACGTGACCTGCACAGTGCACGTGCTAGCGGAGTCACGTGACCTGCACAGTGCACGTGCTAGCAGAGTCACGTGACACACACTACAGTTCAATGATTGGCTGTTGCCAGTCCCCAGTACGGGTGGTCACCTCGGTTGGTGAAGCGAGACCGGGGGTGCTCCTTGCTGTAGAGGCAGTTGTTAACGGGGGAGAAGTCTGAGTCTGAGGAGGTGGGGAGAGCAGGGGAGGAGTGTGGAGGAGGGGTGGGGGCCGGGGAGCTGGAGCTGGAGACTGGGAGCAGGGGTTTGGAGTCACTGCCACCGTCTACACTGGAACTGCGGTCTGAAGCCATGCCGGGGTACGACCAGGCTCTGTGGAGGGAAGGGAGGTGTTAGTCTATTTTACTCACCATACGATCAATTGTTTTTGTTTACATATCAGATTGCACTTGAACGGGAATTTTAACCAAAACAACCAGAGTTGGATCGTTTAATTGATGTGATAAGATAAATATCAAACAGGAAAGCCCTTAACTTTTACGTCTGCGAAATTTAGAAATGCAAACATTAGCAATGACCAAGTGGAGACATCACTTAAAATAGAAATATACAAAGTTTGGAGAAGCAGTCTTAATCAAATATTAAAATAATAAAATATTTAATCTTAATAAAACATTTGATGTAATCTCCTAGCCCAATATTGTTTACACTAAGTTCAATTAGTTAAACTAACCCAGTATCAGGATGATTCCCGTACATCAGTGGGATATAGCTTGAGTTGTAAAAGTTGGGTACTCTGATGTCAGGACCTCCTGGGTAATCAGACCCGCCTCCTCCAATTGGGGATGTCCTGTACGCGTCACGTGCGTACGGAGAGAAATCTGAGGACGGGGTGTTCGTTAATAGGGGGTTTATACCGGCATTTCAGTTGTAAAGCACACCGCTTCACTGGTGACGGGAAGATGACGAGATAAATTTAGCTTTAAAGTCATGACATCATCTGGAACTAATGTTCGATAATTCAGTCCCTTTGACACAACCTTAGCTTGAAACAAAGGCCGTACGTTAAAATTTCAAGTAAAATAAAGCCAGGTTCTAGACAAAGACCACAACTAGACCAACTAAACCAACTTAACCGACTAAACCAACTTAACCGACTAAACCACAACTAGACCAACTAAACCACAACTAAACCACAACTAACCGAGAGCAGCACTGTAAGGGATCTGGGAAGCAGCGAGACCGTCACTCCAAGCGGAGGAGGTATAGGGATAGTCGATATCACAACACTTGCTGAGAGAACCTGGGGATCCGGCACCCAGCAACATGGGCAGCGGCACTGCACTGCTACTCTGAAAATACTATTCTCAGGTAATGTTCCAGTTTCTTGGTAACACTTGGTAACACTTGGTAACACTTGGTAACACTCGTTACTTAGCAATACTGATCATTACAAGACTGTTAACCGTATAACTGCTACAGTGTCAGTAGTAGTAACCAATTAGATTCACAGTTTATATTCTTACCTGAGGAGCTAGATCTTCAGGGTAAGGAGCTATTGCTAGTGGTACTCCGTTCTGGACAGGTGGGTTGATGTCGAACTGGGACTGCTGGTCTGAAAATATTTTATCCGTTAAATAAAGTTCACGATGTATCAAATACAGCGTGTATTGAGCCTCGGCGAATCGTAGCATTCATTGATTACTTCGATTTTAACGAATTTCGATTCATCAAATTCGTTCTAAATCTACACTACATGCAGAGCCCATGTTTCATCATGATGACGAATGACGATAATTCAGCTCACTAAATTGAAGTGAATAAAAGTGCTCATATGCGCATTTATCGAACATATTCACGGTCGCGTTCCCAGCGATAGTGTATAAAGTGTGCATGTGAAACAGGTTGATAAGCATGACTCAGCTGGAAGAAACACGCCCAAACGCGAAGCATGTTGGACTGTGTGTGCTTCAGCCCTCACCTCATACTTCAGCATACCACAGCTCATCATATACTGCAGGGCATGGGCTGAGAGTAGGGAGTGTTTTTAGTAGAATCATAGATCCACAAATTAGCAGATGTTGTTGGAGGAATTAGCTGAGAGTAGAGTAAGATTGACTGAGAGAGAGAGAGAGAGGCGGCGCGATATTACCCCCAGCAACGGACACGACATATCACCATGACAACTAATAAAAACTAGCTGGTGGATCGACAGGACAACCAATAGAGCTCCTTTAAACCACCATATCACTTTGAGAGCTGGCCAATCAGCAGCCTGGATCAGCGTCACGTGACACTGCTGAGCGGAGAAACAGGAGCAAGAGCAATATGATGATTAATGTAGAGCCGTGAGGGGAGACTGTAAAATAACATTAATCCAGTAGGGTGAGCAAGCCAATCAGAAGCTCGCCAGCTTGCCACGTGAGGGGAACCAACCGATCAGAAGCTGTCTAGCAGGCCACGTGGTAGGTTTGGGATGAGTTCAATCCAGGGGGTCGGTTGGCGGGACGGTTCCCGGTGATGACCCCATTAGAGGACCCCTTGAACGACTGGGGCTCACTTGTGATACGCCTTCCAGACACGTTCTTACAAAGGGACCCGTGCGTTCTGGTGTCTAAAAGGTTGAACGAAAAAACTACAAAAATCTGAAAACTTGTCTCGATCCTCTCTCTAAATATCTAATACTCAATAGTAAAAGAAAGTTCGAACTTACAGTTTGACTTACAGTTAGACTTGGAACTGGATTGCTGGGTGTGTTGGATGGCTCCTCCAGCAGCCAGGAAGGGTGGGGCACCGTACGAGTCCAGGGCGATGATCACATGATTGATATCTTTAGACTCGTGGCGTTCCTCAGCTGCTTGGGTAGCAGTTCCTGGTTCCCGGAACCCTTTAGCGAACGGGTTGTGTTCGATCTTCAGCTGGGTTATCTGAAACAGATATCGATTAGAGATGGATTATAGACATGTTTTTATCCACACTAAGAATTGGCATTGAAAATAGCCTCGGTTTATGAATTTTGATCCCATTTGGTACCAGATGACCGCTATTTCAAAATCGTGCCAAGTGATCTACTTCCCAATCAGTGAAACTGGAAGGGTAACCGGTAATGCGTTTCAGTGAATGCCTGGTTTCAATGTATTGAACAGCTCTTAATTTGTTTACCTTTCCAAAGCTCTTACAAAGGGTGTGTCCAAAGTGCTTCATTCCCATGGCAACAAAAACCACGTGACAGTTTCGCTAATTCTTACAGGTCAATCCCAGTCACGTGGGAGCTGGCTAACAACGACTAAAGCTCATTTGCGTTCCCACATTTCTTCCGGTGAGTGAAAATCCAGATTTCCAGGCCGCAATACCCCATTGAAACAAGGATGAGCGTCGTAACGTTTGATGTGGTTAACATTAAATGAGTAAATAGCTCGGCCACTCAGGTCTCGCTCCGTAAAGGGTGCTACTTGGTTTTTGGAGCTGCTAATAAGAGTAATGATGTTATTACAGCGGGATACTGGGATCAGTGTTTTAGAGAGAGAGAGGAGTGTTTATTTAACTGAGTGGATACTTTAATCACACTGCAGATAAAGATACATTTCATTAGTTCGGGACTCATATTATTCCGGCCAATCGCAGACTTGTGATATCATAGTTCGGGGTTTTTTATACATTATGATTACAGAGGATCTGATATTTAGATATATATTGCTGTGCTGTAAAAATTGACTTTATTTATTTATTTATTTGTCTGTGTCAGGACTGCCAGGACAATCTGCCAATCATAGGAGCTGATACTTGAGCCTGAGCTCTGAAGGGGCTGTCCCACGGTAACTGCGAGGAGTTAAGTGGGAAATGTTCCAGAAGGAAGCTTGAGGGCCACCACGGCAGTAAACCTGGCACAGTTCCAAGTAGTTCCTGTCAGCTTGTTTATTATCTAAATATTCCCGGACATGGCAGATTGAAAACCTCCCCACGAACAATGCTAAATTTAAATCTGAGTTTTAACTATGGGAGACCAAGGTGTTACCTAGGCCTCGTTGCAAGAGCAAGAAATTATCAAAATTTGTCAGTTCAGTAATTTTTCACTCTCCACTCATCACTTAATGTAGTGAAGTGTTGTGCGGAATTGAAATTTAGAGAAGAAACGCTCGTTTAAAAGTTTTAAAAGCTCATTCATGAAAAATGATCGCATCGGTCAAATCATTTCATGTAATGTAATGGTTAAATATAACGTCACTTTCCATTCTTATTTTCTTGAAAACCTAGAATAAAGACTTACGAAAAGCTTAAAATAAGCAAGAAATTAGGTTAAGAAATTCAGTTTTACTTTTCAAAAGAAAACAAAAAAAAGTAAGATATTTACCTTCTCACTCTGATACGCAGTGACAGCAAAGAACTCGGTTTCCTGGAATATCATAGTCCTAAAGGCACACCACGGGATCTTGTAGATATCATCACACTGAACGATGTGGACTCGGGGCTGGTAACGGTGCATGGAGTTCAGGATAGCCTGAAAAACACACCGTCAAAACACTAGAAACACTAGAAAAACACACCGTCAAAGCACTAGAAACACTAGAAAAACACACCGTCAAAACACTAGAAACACTAGAAAAACACACCGTCAAAACACTAGAAACACTAGAAAAACACACCGTCAAAACACTAGAAACACTAGAAACACTAGAAACACTAGAAACACTAGAAACACACCGTCAAAACACTAGAAACACTAGAAACACTAGAAACACTAGAAACACTAGAAACACTAGAAACACTAGAAACACACCGTCAAAACACTAGAAACACAAGAAAAACACACCGTCAAAACACTAGAAACACTAGAAAAACTAGAAACACTAGAAACACTAGAAATACACACCGTCAAAACACTAGAAACACTAGAAATACACACCGTCAAAACACTAGAAACACTAGAAACACTAGAAACACTAGAAACACTAGAAATACACACCGTCAAAACACTAGAAACACTAGAAACACTAGAAACACTAGAAACACTAGAAATACACACCGTCAAAACACTAGAAACAAACTCACAAAACAACGATAAATTATCACGCTTGCTTCCGGACTATAGGTCTGTTAAAACTAAATCCTAAGACGTTCCTAACAGAACTGAACGAACCACCACTCAAGTCACGACAAAAATCAAGATACTTAAGACGTTGGTAGCAGCAAAAAGAACTAAGAAGCAGAGCGTTATGTGGCATTGTAAGGCACTGAATACTCAGGCTGCTGGTCGAACATTAGCATGCTACCCAAAGCTTTGCTTGTTAAACACGCTTCATATTCACATGTACCGAGATGTGGAGAGGACCATACAGTCAGGCTGCTTTATTGCATGCTTGTTTATTATCTGTTGTCTATCTTGTTATGAGAGTTTTCATATCCCTGATATTGTGGATAATCTGCATGTGCCGTTGCCCGTTACCAGGGGATTTCTATTCCCTGAATTCGTGTTCAGGCCATATTCTACCGACAAATTTGACCGTTCAATTTTGTCGATGGATCGCTAAGTCTCATGTACAGGGATAATATCTGGTCAGGCAGAGCGCGAACCTACAAGTCAGGAAAACCAGGCTGTTCTGTGCATTAAAGCTTTAAAGGAAGATAACTGGAAGATTTCTTCTAGAATCTTAAAACTCAAACTCACATATCCACTGGTGTCTGAAACATTGTTGGTCATCTTGAGTTTGTGGAAGCTGACGATCTTCTTCATCCAGTGTGCACCAGTGTTGGGAGACTCGGGGTGAACGTACATCCGTTTAGGAGGTTCCGGGTCTGCTTTTCCCGCGACTACCCACTCACAATTACTAAACTTGTACCTGGGGAGCGTGTATGGTTAGGCTCGGTCTCTAGCTGTTTAAAACACTCTGTTGACGGACAGACTGACCAGCGCCAGTTTTATCTGGTGACTGGCTGGTCCAGTTTCCCGGCATTCTGACTAAAATATGAACATAGCGTAGGAGAATATGTAACAAGGCGGACCAACATAACTGGACTAAAGGCTATGCCGTTGTTTTCTTAAGCTGGCTTAAGGCTTTATGTAAGAACAATTAATCCAATAACTACTTGAATTGTCATAAAACTAACTAAACTCTTACAATATCTTACTAAATTCTTACAATATCTTACTAAAACTTACTAAATTCTAACTAAAACTAACAATATCTTACTAAAACTAACCTGCAGTCGTCAGCGGGTACCACGTCCACCAAGAAGGCGTACTTAGCATTGGGATCCAGACCAGATACTTTGCATTTGAGAGCCGGAAACAACCTCCTGGTAGGAAAAGGTGATGATGGAAAAGGTGATGACAAAAGAAAATCGCGATTATTTTGCCCAAAGAATGGGAATAGTCGCGATCCCGTACATGCCGCGATTCCCTTTTGTCCCTGGATGGTAACAGTTTTAAACTACAGTTTTAAACTACAGTTTATACTAATGGTGATCGTTTACCTATTACCTACATAAATATAACGCCGTATAATAGCAGAAGTAAATATGATTGACAGATGAGTTCTGCAGAGGTCTTGCATGCATGTTCCAAGATATGTTTTGATAAAAAGTACAGGCGGGGATTTGTTTTGGTTCCACAGTACAGAGAGAGACAAGCAGTTTGATATAGCTACGTCACCCCTAACGATGACAAATTTGTTCCAACTCCCAGAAATGTCTGTAAGATCGAATTAGAGGGATAAAATAGACCGGTAATTCTGTAGGGAGGGGATTGGAAGAGATTATTTGAGGACGAGTGATATCAGATCAGAGCCTGAAGTTGGCTCGGAGGGGATTGTAACAAAGCAGATTTTAGAGGGTGTGGACCGGACCAGTAATTATCTGAACTACAAATCATTGCATCACACCCCTTCATCCCACACATTGATTCGTACACTGGGCAGTCAACTCGGGACTTAATCACATAATGGAATTCTCTGTTCTTAGGCGGGGAGAAGATCAATTCACTTAGTGGTTTTCGTCCCAAGTCTCTGAAATTCGGCGCCTGAAACAATTTAAGCAATCGCTGTTGATAGATTGAGGCCGATTCAGCGTCCCACCTCTGTCTGGAAAATTCCAGAATGCTGATCACGTGGTTGCATGCGGAGTGAGCTTTGATCCCGGCTACAAAGCGTCGGGGCGGGGCGTGGCTCACCTGCCACCACAGTACACTGATTCTAACTCTTAACATTCTTGCTGCGTGGTAATATTGTAGCAAAGAACCTCAACCTAAGGTGAAATTTAATTCTGTTTATAGAATTAAATTATGGATAATGCCGTGGCAAGGAATGTGGCAAATTTTGGCACATTTAAAGATTTGAATAGGAAAAATGTGAACTGATTTTTAAAATATCAGTGCGTGGTACAGGCCTGAGTTCTAATCAACAATTATGGTTTTTTAAATAACTTCTTCTTTCTTTAACGAGATTTTTTAAAACCAACTCATTCAAGGGACCCAAATTCTAACGAAATACATTTCACAATTGCCCAGTTTACATCTTGAACTGCATATATCTTGGACTGTTCTTCTGAACCAACGACCATTTACGCCATATCGTTAAAATATGGCGTAAATGTATACCCAACGAGAAAGCTTAGCCATTGATAGTAAACGGAGAGTTGAATAAACTCATGCTTGAGTATAACTACGTGGGGTTGTGGTACTTGTTGGAGATTGTTCAAGAATAGAGCATGCAAAAGATCGACATCAAGTTTGGTATATGGTTATTTTTGTGACCTTTTAACAAGGAGAGAAAAAAACAAGAAAAAAGCATCAATCAGAAGCACTGCTTGTTATCCCTCGGGCCTCAAAATGACATTTAAGGTGGTTTTATCCCCATTTATTCTATAGTACACAATTTCATACCTTTATAGTTTATAGTCCATCCCCACCATAACCCTAGCCCAAAAGATTATCTAAAAAAGTAAAAAGGGTAATAAAAGTTAATAAAAGGTACTAATAAGAGGTAAACACTAACCTTCCGGCTTTGGTGATGACCATTTCAGTTCCATGTTTGCAGAAGCTCTGCCAGAGTTCCTTCTTCTCGAGCTCCAGAGTAACTTCACTCTCCTCATTCAGCGGAGGAGGAGCTGGAGCTGCCACCTGCTCTCTTTCTCCCGGGTCCGTGAACTGAGGGAGGAGGGGTTAGTTTGTGGGAGAGGGTTAGTTTCTGAGAGAGGGTAAGTTTCTGGGAGAGGGGTTAGTTTGTGGGAGAGGGGTTAGTTTGTGGGAGAGGGTTAGTTTCTGAGAGAGGGGTTAGTTTGTGGGAGAGGGGTTAGTTTGTGGGAGAGGGGTTAGTTTGTGGGAGAGGGTTAGTTTCTGAGAGAGGGGTTAGTTTGTGGGAGAGGGGTTAGTTTGTGGGAGAGGGGTTAGTTTATGGGAGAGGGGTTAGTTTGTGGGAGAGGGGTTAGTTTGTGGGAGAGGGGTTAGTTTGTGGGAGAGGGTTAGTTTCTGAGAGAGGGTTAGTTTCTGGGAGAGGGGTTAGTTTGTGGGAGAGGGGTTAGTTTGTGGGAGAGGGTTAGTTTCTGAGAGAGGGTTAGTTTCTGGGAGAGGGGTTAGTTTGTGGGAGAGGGGTTAGTTTGTGGGAGAGGGTTAGTTTCTGAGAGAGGGTTAGTTTCTGGGAGGGGTTAGTTTCTGGGAGGGGTTAGTTTTTGGGAGAGGGTTAGTTTCAGGGAGAGGGGTTAGTTTCTGGGAGAGGGGCTAGTTTCTGGGAGAGGGGTAAGTTTGTGGGAGAGGGGTTAGTTTCTGGGAGAGGGGTTCCGGTTAGTTTCTGGGAGAGGGGTTAGTTTCTGGGAGAGTGTTAGTTTGTGGGAGAGGGGTTAGTTTCTGGGAGAGGGGTTAGTTTGTGGGAGAGGGGTTAGTTTGTGGGAGAGGGGTTAGTTTGTGGGAGAGGGATTAGTTTCTGGGAGAGGGGTTAGTTTCTGGGAGAGGGGTTAGTTTCTGGGAGAGGGGTTAGTTTCTGGGAGAGGGGTTAGTTTCTGGGAGAGGGGTTAGTTTCTGGGAGAGGGTTAGTTTCTGAGAGAGGGTTAGTTTCTGGGAGAGGGGTTAGTTTCTGGGAGAGGGTTAGTTTCTGGGAGAGGGGTAAGTTTGTGGGAGAGGGGTTAGTTTGTGGAGAGGGGTTAGTTTCTGGGAGAGGGGTTAGTTTCTCGGAGAGGGGTTAGTTTCTCGGAGAGGGGTTAGTTTCTGGGAGAGGGGTTAGTTTCTGGGAGAGGGGTTAGTTACCTAGGGGAAGTGGGAACTAACCAAATTTTATGTATAGTTTAATATACCGCGAAATTTAATTCGCGGTATCGCGATTTTTGGCCAAAATTACCGCGAAATCCTTTTGTCCCTGAGGGGAACTAACCAGGGCGGGTGGTCAAATATTTACTTTTATTCTAACTTTAAGGGATCTAGAAAAGAGACTGGGAGTTATTATATAATTATCTGTAAGGAGCATCATTTTTACACTATCCCATGGATCTATAAGGGCATACATTTGAGCTATCAGTTTTGTACGTAAAACAACGTCTTGATTTCTATTAGGCTTTGTGATAACAAATTCTAAGAAAGTTATTTAATTAGATATACCAGCGCTGCTGCAACGATCAAAAGCAATTAAAAAAGTCTGCAATTCATGTCGATTAAAATAGAGGCGCAAGAGAAAACGTGATCATCAAAATTGGTCGTTTAATGAGACTTAAATTAATACAAGAAAGTTATTCAATCATACAATTTCATGAGCGTGTAAGAAGGAATGATACTCTCGTAAGAGTGGTAACATATTTTAATAACACCAGTGGGGTTGAATGAAGGACAGCTGACATAAAATACCTGTGAACTTGGAGACCCATAAGCTTCAGTCTTGATGGTCTGATATTCGGAGTTCTCAGCAAACTCGCTCTTTATCAACGAAACAGAATCTGAGATAAGGGAAACATCAAGCAGCTGTCTGCAACAACAGAATATATCAAAGATCAAAATAACCGACTCAAACACAAGTTGCAAGGATCGATAAATAAAGGAGGAGTTTATGCATACTTTATGCTTATTTAGTAAAGTTTTAAAACTTCTCTCTACAAGGACAACTGGATATTTTGGTGTGCAAATTACAGCTCTTCTTGCTGGGTGGTAAGCAGGCAAGCAGATATATTCGGTAAGCACACATTAGCTCTATTTACCAGCTGTCTGCTCCGTAAAGGTAAGTCCTGGGCTGGGGGAAGTGTTCTGATCTCCAACCAAGGAGTTAACGGCAAACCCACGGGCACGAGTAGAAAGTATTGGGTCACTCATTCTTTCAAAATTTTGCATCAACAAGCACAATAAAATGTATAAACTAAGACTAAAGTTGAAGAGATGACGGCCCTCAACTAGAGATGCGCTATATAAGAGCTGCGCGCTGTGATTGGTTTCCCCTGCGTGAGACCTAATCACGTGACGCGCCCACGTGGCATGCGTGTCACGTGACACGCCTCTCAGCACGTGACACCAGCTTTAATACACGACATCCATGGATACGCTTCTTGCATAACGACCAGGTAAACATTGCGAGTACAGGCCCGCGAAATATGAGAGAGTACATGGATCACTTACTTAGTTACTCGGAACAAATCAAGTAGAATTGCTTTCAAAGTAGGAACATGAAAATAAGGTTTGAAGCCAGTTACTGTACTGCTATAACATTGAGAGATTGAACTTTAAAGTAAAATTAAAATGTTGATGATCTGATTTATTTGCGGCTAATTACGTAACGACTAATTCCAAACTGCACTACGAAAGAACGGTCATGATTGAATCATGGGACCGGCTAAATGGAAACAACGACCCGTACAAACGAGAAAATTAATAGATGTAACATCAATCATTAGCTGAGAAATAAACTGATATCTTTGCTATCTGTTACATCCATTTTAAGATAAGCATGGCAGTTGAAATGATCCATTTTGTTTAAGACCACGAGTATTCCTTACGCATTGGCATATTTTGTTATTATAAAGATAAAATCTCGATAAAGTAAGTATAAGATCTAAAATTGTGATAGAAGTTCAAACTTTGGTAGTCAACTTTATGAAATGTCCTTTATATTCCTTATTCATTGAATACATTGCAATTTGGCTACTTACTGTCAAAGTGTAACAAGAAAAACTGCATTCGTAGGCTTAAAATTGGGTTCGGACATTTGATCACCATTCGACATTTCAACCACTTCTTTTTTAAACGAGTTACCCTATGTTTGGGTTTGAGCTAGTTTGGAATAGACCTCGGGTACCAGTATGATTAGATGTCGGTGTAACGCCACTATAAAAGCTTAGTACGATATAAGAATGTCAGGAGATAAAACGAATGAGAATCACATTTTTACAGAACCACGTGTTTTACAACTACAAGAGGGATAATCCACGTTGTTAGGGATGATCCACGTTGTTAGGGATGATCCACGTTGTTAGGGATGATCCACGTTGTTAGGGATGATCCACGTTGTTAGGCGTCAGACTTCTCAGGGCTTTAATTTAGGCAACATAGCTGCGAGGGACTCGTAATGATAAATGTTGACTTGTCAAATCTTGTTCAGTCATGAATTCAATCGACCCAGCCTTATAAACTTAGTTGGATTTCTTTTTAAAAATTATACATTATTCGCTGCACTGCAAATTCATACTGATAAAATGACAGAAATCATGAGGTGGTTCAAACAGCATTTTTGCATGGACTTGTCAAGGAGACTGGATACCTGTATAGTCATGCTAGGGAAAGAGTAATTCCAACAATAACTATATTTCAAACAGCAGTGTGCCCCCTACCACTGAGTTTCACATGTTACTCAGCATGAACCCAACGTGTCTCCTCCTGACTTCCTGACAGAGATCGTGCATCCTGCGTGCATCCTGCCTGCAGGCGGATATCAAGCAGGCCCACAGAGTAAGCAGGCACGCAGGAGCTGACTACGTCGGCAAGTACACGGCACAAGATGGCAAGGTAGCTACAGCTGATATAAACAGTTGAGAGCTGCTTGTCCATATAACAAGTATATCTTCCTCCCGCCTTACTTGCTCCATGTAGTCTCACTTTTATCCATGTCTTTTCTTTTGCTTCTCTATGTTTGTTTCGCGTGGAATGTGTTTTCTTCCGAATGAGGCTAGCTTATTCTGCAGTTTCTCGCATCTTCGTTCCGTTTTTGGTTTTCTTACCGCGGCACAGAGAATATTCAGCTGTTTGTTTTAATCTTTGGCTTTTTAGTATGGTCTGGCTTTTCAATTTATGCAACGGCTGCTTCAAATTTCTGCAGAAGATCTTAATGCCTTAACTTTGGACTGTAAAAATTTAAATACATAGAATTTTAAAACCTGCGAATGATCAATGATAGAAACAAGAAGTATGGCAACAATAACCACACCAGCCCATATTTTTCCGGACCCAAGGTTTCGGTCGCGGTTTCGGTCTTGCAAATAAGACAAAAGAATAAAAAGAATGGATGAACTTGAACCTGACGCCAGGAAACTGGTTAAAAGTTTGGTTATTACTTCCTGAAAAGTGCTTTTGTCCGAAAACCTTTGGCTGACATGTTTGATTTTAGGAGGATAGATTTATCATCTTCAATAATAATTATTTACCCGTGGTACTAATCCCACTGATATTTTTCTAAAAGATATAATATTGAAATAAATATTCTTTACATGAAGGGTCCGCTAGTTTTTACTCAACATTTTTTGCAAACCTATTGACATCATCAATATCTCGCACGATTTTATTTATCAGACTGTTTATTTCCATCGAATAAGAATGACAGACTATCTCGCCTTAAATTCGTTAATCTGTAATGTTTACTTCTATTTCAGAATTGCATGTCTCTGTTGGACAGTTTGGTCTCCCCTTAACCTCAATGTAAAGATCGATAATGTAAAGCAGGTTGGAGTAATGATAAGATCCTGATTGCATGCTGATGACCGTTGATAAGCGGTAAGGTTGGGTAAAAAGAGCTATAAAATAATCCTGATTGCCCAATCTCCATTAGCCGTCTAATTGGTGGAAATTAGTCCCCTAATGAGTTCGTACGTTTCAACTTCAGCAGGTCTGTTCACGTCTGGACTTGGCCTACTCAAGATATTTTTGCAAAGGGGGAAGTAGATCTGAAACAGAGCTCGGTTTAAGGGTGGAGCAGGGGTTCAGCCAATGAAAATAAGTTAGTTCTGCCGAGTGTGGGAGGATCGTGCGAGGCCGTTAGTCATGTCGGATCTCATACGTTTAGACCTGGAGCCCAACTCTCAGTCGGCTGGCTTCCGGCGTTGTGGAGCCTGGCGGTGTTAAAATATGTAGAATTCAGGGGTTAAAATATGTAGAATTCAGGGTTTCTGGGGAAGTGTGATATACTCCATTACTCATGGAGTATATTTAGATAGCTACCTCAGTTGAACTACCTATAAACTGCACGTACGATCATCACCACAAATCCTGCTCCTTTCTGTCTACAGATTTAAAAGCAGTTTTTAAAGACCCCGCCCAGAAATACTCGTTCTAGACAGTGGAACTGTCTCCTATAGTAAACTGTTGCAGTACTCTATCACAGCTTTTTATACACGAAGTAAAACTAAAAGGTTGCCACTGACTATACGTCTATAAGCTGCTATATATAATTATAAAGGCTTCCCTTTCTTCTTCCAAAAGAGTTGAGAGGCTAGGCTCTGGAAACTTGTAACGACAGGTTGTTTGTTTCACAAGAGACCTTGATAGCTTCAGAGATCACATAATTCACCGCTGGGAGAGTATTGGTGTGGCGTCCGCAATATTATTCAGTCGCCTTTGAAAATCTACTACTACAGATTTTCTTTCTGTACTATCATACTATACAGGGAGAGTGAACGAGCGAGGATTGCTTGCGGAGAGTGAACAAGCAGCTTTATTCAGCACTTTCTTTCTTCTTTTGTAAGCGAGGTTACAGTATCTTATAGGCTTATGTCTTATAGGCCAACCTATTGTACACTGCTAAAGCATTTTACTGCCCAAAAACATGTTCTAGCTGAGATAAAACATTTTCCAATAGGCGAGTGCTTCAGGGGCTTTTGCATCGTTCAGAACGGTTAATGCAGTAAATCTTCCCGCAGTTTTGATTATTATAAGTTCGGGCGTGAAACAAAAGAAAAATCTGTCACCATTACAACAGTTGATCAGAAATGATCAGTCTCACAGAGAATGACAGTGTTTTGCAGATAAAACAATCAATTTACATTATCTATTAACATACTCTTTATAATGGGCTATGACGAGATGACAATGTTGGACTTGGATAATACTTGTAAACACATAGCCGACGCTCACTAATGTTTTAAGTATGTATCGTTTTATTTTTTTAACTGATTGAGCTGAGATCATTCTTATTACTGGAATGACTGATGATAGCGGTAACGCGGTTTATCATTTTCTTCTCGGTTCTAGTATCAGGGATAGACACGTTTTCATTGTTCTAGATCTGAACTAGATCACCCAAGTTGGCAATGTGTCCACAATAACTTTATAACTTGACGGTAATGACTATGGCCTGATAAAGTTTGATCCGTCATTCTGAACTCGCAACCACGCCATTGGCCATGGGAATATATAAATATCTGAAGGTCCGGCTTTAAATGAAGATAATTTTGAAGAATCTAGTGCATGCTGCGAGCTAATCCCAGAACAGAGAAGTTGGATGAGTCCCACGACAAAAGAGAGAAACAGTCACGTGACATATTGGTCACGTGACCCGAACAAAGTGCGTTTGTAGCATGCACGGCCACGAGCTTGTCATGCAACGGTCACTCTGCCAAGACTCCTCGCGGTCAGGAGTCACTCTGTGAGCTCTACAGAGTTTTAAATTCGAATACAATTTAATAAAACCAGTTAGCTTGGATGTAGAGTTTATTGAAGTGTTTAAAAGTGTATGATTAAAATCATTACATTGGGTGATCAATTAATAATGAACATAAAACAGCAAAAGAAACAACATAGAGATAATTACAAATTATAATTAATAACATACTATAAATTGGAAAAAATACAAATTAAAACAGTTGACTCTCTCAGTATGAAATATTAATCCTCTTTAACAAAATTCCTGTCTGAGGCACCACCAAAATCCCAGGACGTTGACCCATGATGACCCGACATTCCAAAGAGCAAACGAACGTCCGTGTTCTGCGCATTTTATCTCATACCCGAAATCAAGTTCAAATGATTGGGTTGAAGACTCAGAATCCAGTTCAGATGTAATCTGAAAATACAATTTCCACTTAGATTTGTATAACAACAGTTTATTGCAGCAAGTGTTCCATTTTGTTTTAATTACCTGCGCGATCGAAAAGTCAGGTAATTTGAATCTAGAAATTAAGTAAAACATAAAAGACATAACGCACCTGTGGGGGAGAAGAACGTTTGGAACGTTTATCGCTATCCTCCAGTTTCAGAGCTAGAGTCAGTGTGTATTTTCCAGTCGGTGAGGTTGCGAACACTTCAGAGACTAACATAAGCGAACAAATACCAGTTGAGGAGCAGCTGAATCTGAAGATGATGAAATAAAGAATTAGCGGTATTGAACCAGGGCAGGAATAGGGGCTAATTATATTTATAGACCCTGACTAAAAATACGCCCCCAAACGAAGAGTTTAAGTTAGAAATGAGTGAGTGTAATTTTTCTTATCTGAACATACTGGCCGAATGAGTCCAGCTGTCTGTCTTGATACCCGGCTAAATTGGGAGGTGCCTCACTCTCGTAGGATGAGTTCATATAGATTAGGTAGGAATAACTGTACTCATTGTTGGATAGGAGGGTCAGGGTCAGATACATCAGATGGATATCCCTGTTCTTTAATACCTACAGATAAGTCAAATAAATAATCTAGCAAGCACCTAGGTCCTAGTTATACTTGATATTTATTATTAATCTTTCAATAACGAGATCTTTTTTTCTATACTTCTCAAATAACTCCAAATCTTTTACTCTATAAATATATCCAAAATGTGTCCAGAGACTACCCCTCCCCGGCTACCTATTCAAACTGTAATCCTACTTGAGCGGATAACGCATGTCAAGGTTTTGATACTCTGTATCCCTAACGGTTACTTTAGGAATGTACCGACATTCCTGAGCAAAAGCCAAGCGGAGTTCAGTTTAACCGTTCCACTTTGGTAAACGATCACGTGCGATCCTCCCGGGAGTTTTATACATCGATCAGTATAACAGTTCAAATTGGTGCATGCTTGTTGGAGGAGGGGTGTGACCGTTGTTGGGAGAGGGTGGTGAGGAGGTGATGCAGCAGAGTCTTGCTTGAGAAAATAGAGGAACAAACCACTTCACCAGACTTCTTGACACAAGAGAGGGGGAGAAAGTTGGAGGATTGTACTTTAAGAATTGATTGTATACTTATGTGTAGCTTGAACAGATTATGCTGAGACTTGCATGTTTTACTTGCATGCTAAAGCAGCATTGTTGATAATAAAGAGCAGTACCATATCCTAATATGGTTTACCAAAAATCGAATCTGTTAGATTCAGAAGTTTTCACTTTCCACTTACGTATTTGGGATAGATAGAGAAGTCAACAAACAGAGATTCACTCGAGTAGAGTGGACGATTTAAGGTCTCGTTGAGCTGTGAGCCGATGTTATCTCCATTACCTGCCGACACGGAAAGTAGTCTTATTGACCAGCTGACCTCAGTTTCTGCAGTATAGTACCTGAGGAAGGGTAACAAATGGTCAGTTTAAAGACAAAGTAAGCAGTGGAAACTTGAAATATGGAAGTTAGAGAGTTAATGTGGCCGAGTAAAAGTTACAGGAAGGACTTAAGTGGGAGATGGGCGAATATGGGGGTGAGAAAAGGGTTTGATAAGTTTGAGAAAGAGATAGTTGCGAAGAATGGGACAATAGTTACAGATGGATAGGAGTAAAAGGAGCGACAAATTATGCGGCGATTTAAAATAGAATGAGTGGTAAAATAAGTGTAGCATGAACAAAGAGATTACCTTAAGTTTGCTGCAGAATACTTAAAACGTTTAACTTGCTTAAGTTTAACTATTATATATTAAATTTGAAATTTGAAATTAGCATATCTCTACCGAATGCAACGATAAAATTTGGATAAATATAACTCAACGATCACAGTCGTACTATCTGTTTTTCTAAGACTTACGCTTGAGTTTCAGACTCTACTTCAATCACAACTCCAGTAGAAATAGTGGTTAGAGTGTGACCAAACCTACACATTTGGTCTGTAACCCCGTCTACCTCAGAGTTACAGGTAATGAAACCAAATTCTTGTTTCACAGACACCTTCTCTCGGGTCTTGTTCCAGCCTGTAATTTATAAGTTTATTAAAAAAAAACTTTTTTTCTCTATTCTGTGTTAAAACTCAAAATAAAGATATTATTGAAATGAATTGCGCCGAGCTTTAACAAAAGGAATTTCGGAGAAACTTACCGTTTACAAATTTAAACTGAAAGCTAATAGTATCGGACAGCCCCCTGGGTAGAAGAGAAATGGGGAATTTAGTTCCAGCAAGGTATTTGGTGTAAATCTCCGAGGTAATATCTGAGAGGAGACAGACATAAGATATCCGTCATAAATTACGTAATACCCGGCATAAAGTACGTAATATACGGATCCCGTGAAAAATACAGGACAGAGCCTCATCTACTGAATGAAATAGGTGAAAATTCTTATATAATATAAATTGTTTGTCAAGATTTCCCACAATTATACACTAATTGAATTTATTCAGAATTGAACCAGTATTTCACAAATTCTGGTTTGGATATATTTCTTGCAGGATGAAATCTTGCAATCACGGAATACTAATATTGGCTATTTACAAGCGTACGTATCTCAATACGCATCTTTTTACGTTTAAAAGTATGTTACTTACGATTGTCTCCTTTAATTTCAATATCAACATTTTGTTTGACAGTAACGAACTGGAGTGGTTCAGTGAGGTTTATGTTTGTGATGTCTAGCAGCACCCATTCGTCAAGACCATCTGAATCCAGAAAGTATGGCCCTGAAAAGAAATAGTCCCAAATTATGAACACTGATTATTTTCCGTTGTTTCATGATGAAAACAATATCGTTTCAGTATTTACAATTTAAACCATATCGATCAAAACTATGATTTTGAACTACTGTATTCATCATGGTCATCACGGTGATGTCATCGCCGTACCTGTTATCCTGAAAGACTGCGGTATGTAAAAGTAGTATTCATCCTCCGCAACGCTGAATGTCAGATTCAAGCTTACTTCTCCCTCAACCACTTCTGTGCCCTGTAATAGCACGTGTTGTGCACGTGTTGTGCACGTGTTGTGATACACTGTCTAGTTCATGAAAATGTGGAACTGGATATCGGAGGTTCAGAACCACATCAGTCACGATCTAAAGTTTAACAATAAGGCATTCATTTGATCAAGTCCATTATGTTTGCTCAGAATTGACAGAAGTGAAATCAATGCCGACTTAAAATTCACTTCACAATTCTCCCACTAAAATCCAGGCTAGTAGTGTAAAATATATCGGTTATAACAGCAACAATGAGCTTATAAACCTGCGCGAAGGAGTACTGGAAGCAGCTTATAACCCTGAGTGGATGAGTACTGGAAGTAGCTTATAAACCTGAGCGGAGGAGTACTGGAAGTAGCTTATAAACCTGAGCGGAAGAGTACTGGAAGTAGCTTATAAACCTGAGCGGAGGAGTACTGGAAGTAGCTTATAAACCTGAGCGGAGGAGTACTGGAAGTAGCTTATAAACCTGGGCGGAGGAGTACTGGAAGTAGCTTATAAACCTGGGCGGAGGAGTACTGGAAGTAGCTTATAAACCTGAGCGGAGGAGTACTGGAAGTAGCTTATAAACCTGAGCGGAGGAGTACTTGAAGTAGCTTATAAACCTGAGCGGAGGAGTACTGGAAGTAGCTTATAAACCTGGGCGGAGGAGTACTGGAAGTAGCTTATAAACCTGAGCGGAGGAGTACTGGAAGTAGCTTATAAACCTGAGCGGAGGAGTACTTGAAGTAGCTTATGAACCTGAGCGGAGGATTACTGGAAGTAGCTTATAAACCTGAGCGGAGGAGTACTGGAAGTAGCTTATAAACCTGAGCGGAGGAGTACTGGAAGTAGCTTATAAACCTGGGCGGAGGAGTACTGGAAGTAGCTCATGTCGTAACCCCCGGCCGTGACATGGTGAGATTCAGTGACCCACTCGTGAGCTGTAGTGGCGATGCTGCTGTCCACCAGAATGTGGGTGGTCAGTTTCCAGACTAGCAGAGTGGAACGCTCCAATATTTCGATACACTGGGTCGCGTCAAACCTGGGTACGTTCACACAGTCCTCCTGTGGATATCAGGTATTTTAGGAGATAGTATTTCGGGAAGATGGTTGTGTTTTTTCGAACAGTGGTCGTGGCGCCTTTTCGTGCAATATTCATATCCAAAACAAATTTATTGTTGACTTCTTTCTCTTCTTAGAGTTAGACTACAAAATGATCATGCCTGAGATATTAGTTAAACTAAAAATTGAAATTCAATAAAATGAGCTCAAATATATTAGAGTTTTACATGTCGAAAAGAGCCTTGATTAAAATTATACCTTGATTCTAATGTAAGTGTGAAATAGGTTCTTCTTGTATACAACCGCTCCATCCTTATACTCACTGGACATGTTCATACAGTTCATCAGGGTTCTTAGTGTAGCTGTTAATAATTTGTTCATGTTTGGAGAACAAAAAAGAATCTTAGTTTATTCGATTTGACAAGGGAAACAAAACGTTTTTATTTTAAGTCGTTGAACTTGAACCTCTGATAAGTCAACAGTTAGTTTTACCAAAAGCCAAAACAATACCTGACATAGCTTTGAGTGCGGATTTGTCATATTCGTTTCCACCAACAGCAATTATAGGGTTATATGGAGGTCGAGATCTCCAGTCAAAGATTGAAAGAGGTTCTCCAGAGTTGTCTTCTTTGTAAAGAGAATCTGAATAAAATCACCTAAAATAATTTGTCTCGTTCTCAATAATTCTCTCTATCTACTTTACTGGGCGGTGAGTGCTCAGCCTGTCATTCCGCCGCAGCTTAAATCTACGTAATAGTCTGGGGTAGCCAGGTAATATTTACTCTTTTAGCTCGCAGCAGAATGAAAAGGAAATATTTCTACTTAATATCTGTAATTCATTTAGCTGGAACTTACCGTTTTCTAATATATCTGATATAGTGTAGTTGTAGAAATAAGGCAAACTGGAGCAGTAACCATTCCTATATTCATCTTTCAACATTTTCATTTGTCCCAAGTTCGATATCATAGCGTAAACATCCTGTACAGGTCTTGACACGAACCCAACGATCCAAAAACCCTGCTCGTCTACTGGAACGAAGGATTCCACTCCTAGAATAGCCGAAGAGGAGTGCAGGAAGACGTCCCAGTCCGTGACCTAATCAGGGAAATTACATATGTTTATAAGTTCGAATTCCGCTATAAATGATAAATGTGGCGTTTGATAATGATAATCAATAATACGATCAATATGCTGGCTTATAAAGTTACTACGATGCAAATAATAAACAGGATTCCAACCTTTGAGTAAGCAGTTGTCTGTTGGAAACTTGACTGAATCGGAGAATCTTTCTCTTTAAAAATAAACTGATCGTCTTCGAATGAGGATGCAAACAAAGCCAAATGAATTGTGACGGTTTTAAGTAAGCAAATGCACCGATAATTAATAGACATAATTAATAGACGATTATAAGCAAAGGTAGGATTAGTTGAAATAATGTTCAGCTAGCTAATGAACTGAAGGTAAGACCACATTGCCCGTCACATGAGTTATTAAAATCGGAGTTATCTCCTCTTATCAATATTTAATCAGTGGTTTTAGTTGAGGCGTGTTTGCTACACTATACACTTTTACATTTAAATGATCGTAAGTGGTAAGGCAAAATTTAGAATTTCTCAAAAATGGATTATTGCTTTCAAATTCAATTCAAAATTAAATTATTATGTGTAGAATTAGTAGAGATCTCAAGGCTCAAACATGTACAATATTTTTTATAAAATACACATCCTCGGTGACCCGGTAATTTTATGCCAATGACCTACATCGCGTGGAAAAGAATTAAAGAATTAACAGTTTTTTTGCCATGAAATTAGAATCAATAATAAAGGAATAAATCAAAATAAAAGAGTAAAAATATTGTTCCTAACCGAAGTTATCGTCTGTCAAAGGTCATCGCTTATGAGTAATTGTATTGTGTGAGCGATTTTCAATTGCACGCCCTAAAAATCAAACTTCAAAATCTATCTTCTCCTAATCACAATGCTGGCAAGCATAACCGTTGCCCTTATATTCACAACACTATTTACCCCCTATACTATTATATCCCCTTTATTGTTTTCCAGGCATTAAGATTCATCGAAAGTAATTCAGCAGGTATATTTAAGTTCAAAACATTCTAATTCAATGTTAAAGATGACAGGAATAAGAAATAGTTATGTGGAGGTTTTTAAGAAATTTGCGCAAAATACGCGCCAGCATGTTATACGAAATTAGGTAAAAAACCCAAAATCGCCATATTCAGGTGCCTTAAAAACCATGTTAAAATTGAGTTAGAGATCTGAATCTTTGCAGAGCGTCTAGACCTTGTCCAAATCGACTGTAAAAAAAATTTCATGTTTCAGGAGTATCGGGAAGTGGGTTTTCTGGAACCCCTGTTTTACAACAGATTGTCGTGAAGATATATAATAATATGTATAGACGCTTTTTGCAGTCAATTGTAGCCTACATTTAAGTGTCCGTAGATTCAAAAGTATAAAAGATACAGTCATTTCGAACCACAGGTTTTAAAGATAATCGTTTATACTTTACTTTACTTTATATTGAAAAATAATTTATCATCATCATCATCACTTGATGACGTCATCAATTTAAGTGTTTTTAAAACTTGATTTTTGACAAAACAACAACTTTTCAAATCGATTTTACACCATTAAAGAGTAATTTTATTCAAAATCTGAGGACATTTTCACCTTAGATAATTGTTCAAGTATTCTAAAAATCTACCGGAAAAGTTTCCTACCTTACTCCTTCATAAAGATATTTGCTATTGAAGTTAGTGCTTTTTTGAAGAATAATTTTATAAAAACACAAAAGTTGTGAATTAGTATTCTCTGGTGTTGGGCTATCCCTTGGGTTGTGGAGCTCAATTTTGCTTCTTAAAGGTGTAAATTGTGTTATAGGCTAGTTTTAAAGTTAAAAATCGAAAAGTTGCACACGTGGGGACACGCCCAAATTGATTTAAAATAGCTAAAATCACTAAAAATTTTGATTTTCACGATTTTTATCAACTTTGGAGTCCCGTTGTGATCCAAGTTCTTTTTGAAATCTTCTGAAACTTTGCATGCTTATCAAACTATATATTAAATACCACAATGCAAAAATTTACGGTGATTCAATATTGTATGCGCACGCAACGTCCGCTCAAAGTTTGCACGTGCGAAAGGTGAGAATTTTGCTCATTCGTGATTTCGAATATATTCTGCTTTCCACGATATTTAAATGGCATTATATATGAATTTAATGCCAACTTGAATGAGTAAAAAGTGCCATATTCAGTCGGTTATCGACAGATATACCTAACTAAACACAAGGAAACGTTTTCAAAGGCAGAATTTCGAAATCGTCGAAATTACCTCCTTGTTAATGAAGTTTCGACTAGCTGTGTAAATTATCCTGACATTATAATCAAAAAGAGATGATATTTGACCAAAACCCATAATCATGGGTAGAGTGTACCGCTGCCAGTGTCTCTCTTTTCCAAACAAAAGGAAATGATATTAATTTGAGGAACAGTCCGCTAATGCAAATTGATACCGAGAATGAAATCGGTCGCTCGCTTTTCCCATTCATTAACGGCTTACGTATTGTAATAAAGCTTATTGAATGGGAAAAGCGAGCGACCGATTTCATTCTCGGTATCAATTTGCATTTGCGGACGGTTCCTTAAATTAATATCATTTTCTTTTGTTTGGAAAAGAGAGACACTGGCAGCGGTTCACTCTACCCATGATTATGGGTTTTGGTCAAATATCACAGTGCTGGCAAGCACGACCGTTGCATTTATTGTGGGTATACTATGTACCCCCTTTACTATCATACCCCCTTTACTATTATACCCCCTTTGGTACACGTTACACGCCTCCGGCAGGAGTTTTTCAGGCATTAAGACTCATCGGAAGTCGTTCAGCAGATTTATTTTTAGTTGAAAACATTCTAATTTAATGTCAAAGATGACAGGAATAAAAAATAGTTATGTTGAGATTTTTAAGAAATTTGCATAAAATACTCGCCAGCACTGTTATATATACGAAATTCGGTAAAAACCCAAAATCGCCATATTCAGGTGCCTTAAAAACCATGTTTAAATTGAGTTAAAGATCTGAAATTTTTCAGGGCGTCTAGACGTTGACCAAATCGACTGCAAAAAAAGTTTCAGGTTTCAGGAGCATCGGGAAATGGGTTTTCTAGAACCCCTGTTTTACGACAGATTGTCGTGATACATATCACAATGCTGGCAAGCATTACCGTCGCCCTTATATTCACAATACTATTTACCCCCTATACTATTATATCCCCTTTATTGTTTTCCAGGCATTAAGACTCATCGAAAGTAGTTCAGCAGGTATATTTAAGTTCAAAACATTCTAATTCAATGTTAAAGATGACAGGAATAAGAAATAGTTATATGGAGGTTTTTAAGAAATTTGCGCAAAATACGCGCCAGCATGTTATACGAAATTAGGTAAAAAACCCAAAATCGCCATATTCAGGTGCCTTAAAAACCGTGTTAAAATTGAGTTAGAGATCTGAAACTTTGCAGGGCGTCTAGACCTTGCCCAAATCGACTGTAAACAAAATTTCATGTTTCAGCAGTATCGGCAAGTGGGTTTTCTGGAACCCCTGTTTTACAACAGATTGTCGTGAAGCATATATATATATATATATATGATGTATAGACGCTTTGGCAGTCAATTGTAGCCTACATTTAAGTGTCCGTAGATCCAAAAGTATAAACGATACAGTCATCTCGAACCACAGGTTTTAAAGATAATCGTTTAAACTTCAGTTTACATTGTATTGAAAAATAATTTAACGTCATCATCATCACTTGATGACGTCATCAAATTAAGTGTTTTTAAAACTTGATTTTTGACAAAGTAAGAAATTTTCAAATCGATTTTACACCATTAAGGAGTAATTATATTCAAAATCTGAGGACATTTTCACCTTAGATAATTGTTCAAGCATTCCGAAAATCTACCGGAAAAGTTTCCTACCTTGCTCCTTCATAAAGATATTTGCTATTGAAGTTAGTGCTTTTTTAAAGAATAATTTTATAAAAACACAAAAGTTGTGAATTAGTATTCTCTGGTGTTGGGCCATCCCTTGGGTTGTGGAGCTCAATTTTGCTTCTTAAAGGTGTAAATTGTGTTATAGGCTAGTTTTAAAGTTAAAAATCGAAAAGTTGCACACGTGGGGACACGCCCAAATTGATTTAAAATAGCTAAAATCACTAAAAATTTTGATTTTCACGATTTTTATCAACTTTGGAGTCCCCTTGTGATCCAAGTTCTTTTTGAAATCTTCTGAAACTTTTCATGCTTATCAAACTATATATTAAATACCACTATGCAAAAATTTACGGTGATTCAATATTGTATGCGCATGCAACGTCCGCTCAAAGATTGCACGTGCGAAAGGTGAGAATTTTGCTCATTCGTGATTTCGAATATATTCTGCTTTCCACGATATTTAAATGGCATTATATATGAATTTAATGCCAACTTGAATGAGTAAAAAGTGCCATATTCAGTCGGTTATCGACAGATATACCTACCTAAACACAAGGAAACGTTTTCAAAGGCAGAATTTCGAAATCGTTGAAATTACCTCCTTATTAATGAAGTTTCGACTGTGTAAATTATCCTGACATTATAATCAAAAAGAGATGATATTTGACCAAAACCCATAATCATGGGTAGAGTGTACCGCTGCCAGTGTCTCTCTTTTCCAAACAAAAGGAAATGATATTAATTTGAGGAACCGTCCGCTAATGCAAATTGAAACCGAGAATGAAATCGGTCGCTCGCTTTTCCGATCCCATTTAATAAGCTTTATTACAATTCGTAAGCCGTGAATGAATGGGAAAAGCGAGCGACCGATTTCATTCTCGGTTTCAATTTGCATTAGCGGACGGTTCCTCGAATTAATATCATTTCCTTTTGTTTGGAAAAGAGAGACACTGGCAGCGGTACACTCTACCCATGATTATGGGTTTTGGTCAAATATATATATACATATTCAGGGATAGACGCTTTGACAGTCAAATGTAGTCAATTGTATCACGATTACACGATTTTTTACACGATTAGAAAATGTATTTGTTATACTGGAATAATAACAATTTTATAATATAAAATAAATCACTTCCCTCTGAAGTAGAACAGATGATGGGAGAGCTTCAAACATGGCGATGGAGGGAAGCGGTGTCTCACCGCTGGGAGGTAAATTAATACCCGTATCGCGATGGTATCCTAAATTTAAGTTTCCATAGATTCAAAAGTATAAAAGATACAGCCATTTCCGACCACAGATCTTGAAAATAATTGTTTACATTTTAGATTATATTGTATAAAAAAATTATTTGACGTCATAAACACCCCTTGATGACGTCATCAAGTTAACCGTTTTTAAAACTTGATTTTCGACAAAGTAATAACTTTAAAAATTGATTTTACACCATTTAAAAGTAATTTTTTTCAACATCTGAGGAAATTTTTATCTTAGATAATTGTTCAAGCATTCTGAAAA